CTGAATTCCGTCCAGGACCTCATGAGAGACATTCGAAGAAAGTTGCGTCTGGTATAGTTAGGTATTGAGTTGTAATTTATTACTAGTTAGTGTTTGAAAAAAGGTTTTCATTGAAAAAATCCGATAAATATTTTGTGCCAAAACTTTTAGGACATACGTTATGTTGACCTCTTCAAATTCTCCGCTGTGTTTTTATGGATGTCCTTCAAGGTCATGGACATAAGTGATACACCTGGTATACTGAACTCATCGACCGTTAATACGGCCCTGCTGCATCCTGCATGGATTTCCATCGCCTATATAACGCCAGAAATCGGAACAGTGATATCCACCGGACGTATCCAATTCCTTCGTAAAAAGAACGACTCCGTATTATTTTCGTTTATGTGCCTGACGTGTTGGATTACGAAAGAGGCGAGATTTTGGTTATTCGTTGCACTGATATTAGGTCGTAGAGCTTTTATTGTCGTAAGACTGTGCCATTCTTTCAGATATCTGCTTATGCATCTATACAGGGTTTCACAACTAAAACTCAGAATTAAAATTGTAACTAGACACCACTCGCACTAACCACCGTTCTTTGATAAGATCACCCATACTCTTGGTACTTCAGTACCTGTCATACTTGGTATATACCCCTGGAAATATATAATTTTTTCTTAGGAAAAGTGCAAATGAAAATTCGTTATTATATATAGTTAAAATACTGCATTGTAATGATGACTCTAGGCTCGGTTATAATTCTTGGCTACACAACGATTTTGAGTGTTTGATGTTGGGTTATATCACGCAACTGTGTTATCCTGTCTATCAACTCGCAGCACTGCGTGTGAAATTGCTTCACTAACGCAGGTTGTGGCCGCTGAACTGCTACACGAGATCACCGGAAATAGCACCAAGTCACGTTCAGCTCTCGTATTTCAGGTCGACGGAAATTACGAAAAAATTATCCACAACAACGACAATTCTGTAATGAAACAATTCCCGTTCCGAGGCCATCCCTGCGTTAACCATACGGCACGCCCTCTATTGTCGATACGTAAACATCACCCACATCCCAGCAATGGCCTTTAAAGAGATGGAGAGTCGGGTACGATCCCCCACCGCAGGACTATTAGAACAAGAGAAGTTTTTTGCGATAAAAATAAAATATAATATTTTTAAGACCTGTTATAAAATTATTATTCTAAATAAGAAAAACGTTGTATTAATTTACTTAATCAAGATATAGTTAATTCTCAGTCGACCATAAAAAGAAACTGTAACAGCTGATGAGTTGCCAAAAAAGCATAAACTTGTTGTCTGTGTTGTTGGTTATGAACATGAGTAACACAGAAATTAATCGGATCAAGTTCGTCAAACAGGTCCGCACAATTAGTTCATAACATTCTTCCTCTACCTTAGCCGATGGGTCACAGGCGGCAGAGTGTCCACAGTGCACCAGTGATGCAGGAGATGCAGAGAAATGCAAATATCACGACGCGCTTCTCTATTGTACACATTATGACGTCAGTGGTATATGGATTTCACTGTATATCGATCACCGCCACGCTGACCGCAATTACTGGTCAGCAGACGTTCTATGTTTAAGGGAAAAAGCACGGGGCAATCTATGATGTGTGAAATGTCTAATAGGTGCTTAGAATAAATTATCGTGGTATACTAACACCAAATAATGGTAATACCCAATTTTTCACCCACTAAAAATTTTCCAGAAATGACCACGATTCTCTGAAACGTCAAAAAAGTATTGAGCGATTTTTATTCTTTTCGTTTGTGGCCTTTTTCTCCGCCGCCACTGGATTGATTTTCGTCCTTGTCGTAGTAGTAACCTTGTGTGAAAAGTTATAGACAATGACTAGCGGACTGACAGACAGGCAGACAGATCGACGGAAATGAGTGAAATATTTTTTCGTGATGTACATGTCATATAAGATACAAAAAAACGTAATTTTATTTTATTTTCAAAAATTTTCGCTCAGAAGATCACTTGTTCTTCTGTAAACTCTTCAAATAATCATCTGCAAAGGGGCCAGAGATGGACCATAGGAATTATTCATTGTAGGGTGGTACATACAAATCATAATGGTTGAGTCAATGCTTGAGTTAGTCATCGATTCTAATAATCCGAAGATTATTGTCAATTGGATTGCTGCCAGACTTACTGTTTTGAGCCTTCGGCTACCTCGCAGCGCTTAATTACTACTGTTTTTTTTACTGCACAAGCTTCCATCAGATACACTCAATCCTCCAGATGTCCAGGCCTACCTGTGTTTACAATACAGCATACTGCTGAATTTTAGGAGCTAGACCCCTCATTGCGTACCAATTATCAAAAAAAGCCAGTCGCTCTATTCATAAAGCACACCGGTCTATTCCCATAAATGCTAACATCTACCGTTTTTTTTTTGAATCTACGGTTTTTGATATGGCAGCGCTGGCACGGACAGACGATCTCTTGATGTAGATGTAGCTCACTAAAGACAGCACAATACCAATTAAATTTTAGTGGTTTCCTATAGTACTAGAATAAGCATCTTCAGGGTCTGGAATATACTGACCTCTGTTTAAACAAAATCGGAATACCAACTAAGAATGTTCTGTCAAGCGACTGACTAAACATACAACAACATACATGCACCTACTGATAGGCGAGTTGCTTAATTTTCTGGTTGTCTGAGAATTGAAAGGTTCGATGGGCTTTTTTGTCGGGCGACTTATCGTCGAATGTGCACGAGCGTTATTTTTTGCTGGGATTGATGAAACATCACCCGATGACTGAGCTGAAGTCTAGTGCACCGACTTCCTTATCGAGTGCAGCAAAAGACCTTGAATCGACGGACGTCGAGGTTTAGTAACACGATGCGGTCGAATAATTTCCGGTGATAGTCATTTGGATTCCTTTAGTGATAAAAGAAGCAGGAGTCTTCAGCGGTCTAGAGCTTCCATGCCGAATGAAAGAATAAGATCATACGATTTTTCTTGCTAGGGTTACCACTCGTGCTACTACTGAATAGAGTATTTTTATTGTCTTCTTTTTGATGTATGTGCACGTTCTTTTTACTGCCTTTATTTTGGATATTCAGGATTACAAATATGATATACTCGCATATACAACAGAATAAATGCTAAAATAAAAGAGATGCCCAAAAAAGGAGGAGTTGACCACACGATGCTGTTCCACTTGCCCTTTAGAGATAGATCACAAAATCTACATTCAAAACTCGCAGGCTTTATACGAATATCTATGAGAGGTATTTTTTTTGGTTTTTATAATGGAAAAAAATCGATACAACACTAACATTACCTGACTAACTGAAAATACATCTATTCAGCATGGAGATCAATGGTACACGACCAAATAATCACATACGAGTACATATAAATAGATTTTCCTCATAGCTTCCTCGAATCTAGATACATTTAAAAGTTTGAGGTGTCTAGGGATGGAGTTATAGGTTTTGTATACAATGAGAACCAAATTTGTCTGATGCCTTGAGTTCAATGTGTACGAAAGAGAAGTGTGGAAAGACACATATGTTAGAAAGATATAGAAGCCGGCTGGATATCGAAGCTCATCACCGCAGCAATCTGTCGCGTTACCAACATGTTAAAACCAGTATCTTGAATTAAGATGCATGTTGAAAATAGTTTATTCTCTTCCCCCAAATAATGGTTTTATTTTGAGTGTACAGTTTTCTAATTGTGAATTGTGTCGAATATGTTTGAGATCGTTACCGGATTGGTCCTAACGACGTTCTATTTTAGATCGAAAAAAGAGGTCAGGATTGTCACCAATTTTGCAACATTGCATCTATGGTTCGTGTGATACAGCATCTTGTTTATTCCAAAGGAAGGTTTCCAGCTCCATGATCACAGTTAAGCGATTCTGGTGAGTAGACAGTGATAGTTGGTATTGCGTAAAGCTAATTGTTACATTTTCCGACCGATAATTCAGGATGAGTTGATTTTATCACCGTCGGTGGGAATCAAAGATAATTGTAAAAGAAACAAAAACACTAAGTTGCATCAAAATTGAAATAAATAAATAATTCTAATCAAAATGAAAACAAAATAATAAACAGACCTCCTTGTTGGATTTGACAGTAACCTAACCTATTGTAGAAGCCTGTGTGAACACTTTTTGGTGTAACATATTGGCAACACGGCAGATTGCACGACCTTCAACGTCACCGTAGCTAGGCAATGTGGTGATGGCCTTCGCTCTTCAGCCGGCTTCTATCTCTTTCTAATATACAGGGGCTTTAATTTATACAAGTGCTGTGAACTTGTTGTATTCGAGTCTATGGTCTGAGCAAGGGGAATAGGAATAGCGTATGAGTATTGTGATAAGACCAGAGATGTAAAAAGCAACCCTTTAATTTCACATGTAAGGTTTCATGAAAATATAAAAGTTTTAAGGGAACATAAGCCATTTGGATACATTTGCCAATATGTTGCTTGAACCGAAAGTTATTGTCAATTATGAGTCTTAGGTTTTTAGCGGAGTTTTCAATTTTTAATTTAGAATTTTTAATTTTTATAGATGAGTTATCTCTAATTTAATTATGATTTCTTCCTAATATGACAGCAGAACATCTATCAGGATGTAACAGAAGTTTATAGTATGCGGATAAATGTGCTAAGGTTTCGAAGTCTTTATTTATTCCTTCTCCAGCCTCAACCCTGTTTGTATCAGGAAATGTCATGTGCAACTGAGTGTCATCAGCATGCATGTGCGATAAACAGAATTTAAGGTGCTTTGTAATTTGACTGATATGTAATGTAAAGAGCAGGGGTCCAAGGATTGATCCCTGCCATCCAAGTAAGACGTTAATAGATCTGCACTATTGCCTTAGACTCCTATTGATTTCAAAATCGCAATCAGAATAGTTTGGTTAATGCAATCAAAGACTTAACTATAATCAAGTTAAACTAATGCTGTGCAATGTCCTCTACTGTGAGCTTCTATAACTTCATCCATAATGTGAGTAAGAGCAATGGACGAAATCCAGATTGATTTTCCATCATCTTCACTACCAATCTACACAGCCCAGGTAAAATATCTGTTGGGTGAAGGTACGAAATTTGTTGGACTTTGACTTTATGAGGTACGACACTAATAAAGAACGCAAAAATACTTTACGTAAAACTGTTTGTTATTGGCTCATTATTGGTTATGAGTACTCATGGGGCTAAGCAAACTAAAATCCAATTCAGTTCAAAAGTGGCAATACATATTCAACTAAAGTGAATATTTTCCAGATATATACAAGTTTATGTTGTTTATTTTGTCTGTTCCTGCCACTTCGGCATCCACTGAAAGAGTCTTCTCCTTATGAAAGCAAGTTGGAGAGATGAACTATCAGCTCATTTAACATAAGTTGATTCTATATGTCAATCTGTTTTGATTGCGAAGAGGCTGTAAATATCTTGAAGACATACAAATATTTTTTGAATATCGCAAAAAGCAAAAAAAATGTTTTTAAAGGCAAATAATGAAAAAATAAATAAATACTCTTGTTTTATGCTGTATAGATCAGAGGGTCTAACATGTGCCGAACGTTTATGATGAAAGTTGCGTGGAAAGTGCAGAATCAACCTACTTAACGTCATTTTTCCTATCTATCAAGTTGTTTACAAAAATACTTGCTGTTGCGGATGCGTTTGTCCGAAAAATCATATACGAGATATAGGTTGCTGTTCTCTCACGGTGAAACCACGGTGTGCCCACGAGGCAGCGTAATTGAACTTTTTTTTTATTGTTTATTGGAATTAGGACATAAAGAGTCCATGCAGCCAGTCTCAATATATATATATAGAGAATATGATCATGCGGAGAAAAGTATATAACAACAAGTAGGAAAATAATGGGCAAAATCCGCAAAAAGGAGGAGAGTGGATTCGAGCAGAAAATACGATAGGTAACCCGAGCGATACGTATTTCTGCTGGTTGGCTGCATCAGGCCCGAAATGAATGCACATATGAAACTACAAAAGTAGATACACATGCCCACACATCCGGATACGGGTGTAACCTGAGGAAACGAAGTTGGAGGGGATAGAAAACGACACACGAAGTCCACAACAAGAGCCAACCTACACATTGTAGTATAAAATGGCTATACGACCTCGAATTTTCAAGGAGACGTCTAACCACCACCACGCGGCCTGTTATAGCCACTTGCTGTGGTACTTCAAGCCCAAAGGATCTACAAAGAGAATATTATCATGCGGAGAAAAGTATATAACAACAAGTAAGAAAATAATGGGCAAAATCCGCAAAAAGGAGGAAAGTGGATTCGAGCAGAAAATAGGATAGGTAACCCGAGCGATACGTATTTCTGCTGGTTGGCTTATTCAGGCCCGAAATGAATGCACATATGAAACTACAAAAGTAGATACACATGCCCACACATACGGATACGGGTGTAACCTGAGGAAACGAAGTCCACAACAAGAGCCAACCTACACATTGTAGTATAAAATGGCTATACGACCTCGAATTTTCAAGGAGACGTCTAACAACCACCACGCAGCCGGTTATAGCGTCTACTTGAAAATTCGAGGTCGTATAGCCATTTTATACTACAATGTGTAGGTTGGCTCTTGTTGTGGACTTCGTGTGTCGTTTTTTATCCCCTCCAACTTCGTTTCCTCAGGTTACACCCGTATCCGGATGTGTGGGCATGTGTATCTACTCTTTAAGTTTCATATGTGCATTCATTTCGGGCCTGATGAAGCCAACCAGCAGAAATACGTATCGCTCGGGTTACCTATCCTATTTTCTGCTCGAATCCACTTTCCTCCTTTTTGCGGATGTTGCCCATTATTTTCCTACTTGTTGTTATATACTTTTCTCCGCATGATCATATTCTCTTTGTAGATCCTTTGGGCTTTAAGTACCACAGCAAGTGTCTATAACCGGCCGCGTGGTGGTGGTTAGACGTCTCCTTGAAAATTCGAGGTCGCATAGCCATTTTATACTACAATGTGTAGGTTGGCTCTTGTTGTGGACTTCGTGTGTCGTTTTTTATCCCCTCCAACTTCGTTTCCTCAGGTTACACCCGTATCCGGATGTGTGGGCATGTGTATCTACTTTTGTAGTTTCATATGTGCATTCATTTCGGCCCTGATGAAGCCAACCAGCAGAAATACGTATCGCTCGGGTTACCTATCCTATTTTCTGCTCGAATCCACTTTCCTCCTTTTTTGCGGATTTTGCCCATTATTTTCTTACTTGTTGTTATATACTTTTCTCCGCATGATCATATTCTCTTTGTAGATCCTTTGGGCTTGAAGTACCACAGCAAGTGGCTATAACCGGCCGCGTGGTGGTGGTTAGACGTCTCCTCGAAAATTCGAGGTCGTATAGCCATTTTATACTACAATGTGTAGGTTGGCTCTTGTTGTGGTCTTCGTGTGTCGTTTTTTATCCCCTCCAACTTCGTTTCCTCAAGTTACACCCGTATCCGGATGTGTGGGCATGTGTATCTACTTTTGTAGTTTCATATGTGCATTCATTTCGGGCCTGATGAAGCCAACCAGCAGAAATACGTATCGCTCGGGTTACCTATCCTATTTTCTGCTCGAATCCACTTTCCTCCTTTTTGCGGATTTTGCCCATTATTTTCCTACTTGTTGTTATATATATATATATACAGTGTGAGCCTTCATAAAGTGCACATATCAAAATCAGGGAAACTACACTCTATTTCATCGACGGATAAATCATCAAAAAAACATGAATTTGATTTTTTATGAATATATGAATATTTTAAAATTTTTAGTAGCAGCTTCTAACCATATTGAAATAACTCGTTACAACTTTTAAACTAAATGTCCTATCATATTGGAATACATTTTGTAGTGATTGCTGGTAAAAGGACGTGCCTGAAAAGTGAAGAATTCCAGGAAAAGTAATGACATCCATTTAGAATAAAGAAAATTTTGATGAAAATCTTTTTTTTTTCATCATTTTTACAATAAATTCAAATTTTCTATAAATATCGTCCCTTGTACCCTACCTTTTTTTATTTGTAAGTTATTCTACATGTTATCAGCTTTATAAAAGTAAAAATTGCACGTTTATTAATCAAATGTAACAGTTTCTATGAGTGTTTATAAAAAATCCCATGCGCATCGTCTTGTTAGGCACCATTGTTTATCATGTAGATACCTTTTTTTGGTGATTCAATGTAGAGTCGCGCGGGCTGAAGTACGAATGGGGAGGCGGGCCCAGTTGAAAAACAATTGAATGTTGGGCAGTTAGGCAGCTATTTGTGTTTCTCCTGCCAACTTTATCAGTTTCGTTTGCTACATATCACGCTTTCGCTTTTGGTCGCGATGCCACGTATAAGTGATTTCCCTCCGGCACACATTGCGGATATCCATTATTATTATGGAATGTACAGAGGGAGTGCTAGAGCTGCTTGCACAGCTTATCTAGCTGCATTTCCAAATCGACGCCCTGTTCCATCAGCCCGTAACTTCCAAGAAGTACATAGAAGACTGGCTAACACTGGACTTGGTTTGCCTCGAGATCGCCGCGAACCAGGTGTTATTATTCATGTTGCTATTGAAGAAGCCATGTTGGATGATTTGTTTGCTGACCCGACTACTAGTACGAGACGTTTGGCGTTACGTCATGGCGTATCCCAGAAATCGGTTTGGCGCATCTTGAGGAAAGCGTTATGTCTACATGGATTTTAATAAAAACAAGAGACAATCCTGAATTCCCGAAAACAATTCTGTGGACAGATGAATCTCAATTCACGAGAGACGGCATCGTGAACTGTCGTAATTTACATAAGTGGTGCCCAAAAGAAGAAAACCCTAGGCTGAAAAGGGCTTCAACATTTCAAGTGAAATTTTCTGTAAATGTGTGGGCCGCACTGATTGACAACTTTTTGATTGGTCCAATAATACTCCCGAGGACATTAAACGGAGAGAGATTTCTGGAGCTTTTGCGGACTGAACTGCCCTTGCTGTTGGAAGAAGTGCCGCTGCAAACCCGTCGAAGAATGATGCTTCAAATGGATGGATGTCCTGCCCATTACTCGCTGTTTGTCAGGTCTTTTCTTAATGAAAATTATCCAGGCCGCTGGATCGGTCGACAAGGACCTGTTGCGTGGCCGGCGCGTTCCCCAGATCTCATACCTCTCGACTATTTTTTATGGGGGACAATGAAACAAAGGGTGTACAGCAGTTCCATAAACAGCGAAGCGGAACTTGAAGAAAGAGTTTTGCGTGTTGCAAACGAAATCAAAAATGATCCCGAGATGATTCGTAGGGCAACTCATCAAATTTCACTTCGCGCTACAATGTGTTTGCAGCAACGGGGTGGCCATTTTGAACATTTGATGCATTAAGCCAAATTAATTATCCTATAGACAGGTCTGTTTGATTTTATTTGTTAAAGATAATTAATGATTCATGTAGGTTAATACTGTTGTTTTATTCCTACTACTGAGTTCACTGCTTTTTGAAACGCTGATTTAAAAACTTGTATCTAAGTAATAAACTTGCAATTTTTCACCATTAGGAAGCTAATAACATGTAGAATAACTTAACATCTAAAAAAAGGTAGGGTAAATAGGACAATTTTTATTGAAATTTAGCAATTGTTTTAAAAATCATTGAAAAAATAGTGAGTTTCAGCATATTCCTCTTTATTTTAAATTTATAGCATTTAATTTCGTGGAAATTTTCACTTTACTGGCACGGCCTATTATTTGCAATCACTACAAAATTTATTCCAATATGATAGGACATTCAGTTTAAAAGTTGTAACGATTTATTTAAATAGGGTTAGCAGCTGACTCTAAAAGTTTTAAAATATTCATAAAAAATCAATTATTGTTTTTAGTTTTTTTTTGATACTTTTTCCGTCAATAATATATATATATATATATACAGGGTGACTTCGAAGTTGAGTCATTTAAATTAACAGTGAGTAGATCTGATCAAAAGAAATGTTTTTTTCCTTTACCATTTTTCTGGTAAAATTAAAGTAACAAAGTTATAGCCCTTTGGAAGTTTGAGTACCGCCCTGTCTCAATAATAATATCATGTAATCGTGTTTAGCAACAACGGATATAATCCGCCTTACCAGTTCATCGCATCGGAAACATAAAAGCGAAAGAATTTGGAACGTTTTTGCAATTAAGTATTTTATTCAGTTCAGTTATACATACACTCAGTGTCTGTCGGTTAGCGTGTGAATAGTGTCTGTTGCGTGGCTCAAACGAAATAAAAAATGGCACATGTTTATGCGGATCGGTTTCCCAATCGAGTGCAACCAACCCCTCGTGCCTTTGTTAATGTAGTACAACGGGCTCGTGAATCAGGTGACTTAAGACCTCACAGGGGACCTCACGATCAAATACAGGTCCGCACTGAAATACTTGTCGGGAGGATACTTTATAAAACAAGGTAAAAATTTTTTTTTAATTTTTTTTTATTTTTACACACATATTCTGGTTTATCTTCCTTCTACAATCATTATCTGAAAATTAATGACTCAACTTCAAAGTCACCCTGTATATATATATATATATATATAATAGCAACAATAATAATAATAGGCAGCTAAATTCGTCCTTAACCCTTTCAATACGGTTGACATATTTATACGTCAGTTATAGAATACACCCACCGGCCGGCTGACCTATATGACCTATATATCCGACATCGATGAATTACATCCATTGTCCTACTGCGTTACAGATGCGACACCTTTATAAACTTGCATGTTACCACAGACGATCGTCGGAATATTATGTCAACGTTTCGCTCACAGCTTAGCCGGACGACGGAAGATTTTGGCTCTGCCGAAAATTTACGACATCCGGCTACACTGTCTAACGTCTGTATCATGCTTGCGATTTTTGAAACCGAGAATTAGGCTGTGATTAGACTTGCATGAAATGGCAGAGGAAGAGCACGCTGGTCCCTCTGAAAGGCCTGCACGTGGCCAAAAGCGTAAGCAACAACAACAACAGCAAAACCACTTCATTTTGATCAGGGAAGAGCAAGGCTGACAGAACGGCATTTTCCGGAAATGGTTCCAAGAAAAGAGGGAAAGAAAACTGCCACTAGGAGATGCAGAGTCTGCTCCCAGATGAAAGCAGGAACAAAGAACAGAAAGGAGAGCAGCTACATGTGTAGAGAATGCGACGCTGGGCTATGTGTAGTGCCCTGCTTTCGGATTTATCAAGTAGCCGACTTTTAAAAATTAACTTGCTCAATGTTTTTTTTTTCGTACAGTCCTGAGTTTTCTTACTATATCTTCAGCATTTAAATATTTGATTTTTATTGAGTAATAAAGTGTTCAAGCTGTATTATGGTGACGTATATAGTATACGTCATCAGGCGCCCAGACCATACAAAATGAGTCGGCGGTGGTGACAGTGCAGTTAAAAAAGGTCCCGTACTGAAAGGGTTAAGAAATATAATAATGAAATAGAATATATAGCTTATATAGGAAGTGCATAGACAGAATGCATACTAAATTATGAGTAGTATACGCCAACAGCCCCCATTCTATGTAAGAATCGCTCACGTTGTTCGTAATATCTATCAAAATGTTGTTCATCAGCTGCTTGTTTTGCTAAAGTATCTACAGCTTCGTTATATTTAATACCAGTGAGCCTTGGCCTAGATGAAAACAACTTCCCTATCTTGGCTTCTCAGTCCTCAAAGCTTTTGTTTAATGCTAATTAATATTTGGTTTATAGTAGATAAAGGTGGCAAGCTAGACTGCAACGAATTGAGAACAGATAATGAGTCGAAGACAATAACCATATTGTTATTTTGCGCAAGATCTGGACTTTGTAAGATGGAAAATGCCTCAGCAGAAAAAATAGATAATGAGTTGGGGAGCTTGTACTTCATTTCAAGTCCCTGACATGGGACTAAGGCTACACAGCCCATTCCATCAGGTTGTTTAGAGCCATCTGTATATACGACAGAATAGTTTGTTGACATATCGATCTAGGTTATCAGACAGTGTACACTCATTCACTGTATTTGGTAAGGAGGGATGTCTCTCTGTAGGCTTCACATAGAGGTGGACTATTTTTCTTGTGCCAGTATTTATTAAGAAGGTCTAAAGTAGCTAGCTTGACAATTTTGTATAACAGAGGAGAATGCTTAGCCTATAATTTCACTATGAATTTTCTTGTTAATATTTGACGTCTCAGATTCAACTGTGGAGTTCCAGCCTCCACATGCAATGGAAATATTGGAGTAGACGACATAGCGCCCAAGCAATGTCTTAATAACTTGTTCTGTACGATGTCCAGTTGCTGGAGTAACGAATTACTTCCTGAGCCATATAAAAAGCAGCCGTAATCTGGAATGGACAAAACGTAAGCCTTATAAAGTAATAGACAGATATCAGGACTTGCACGCTATCTTGTCTTTGCATTTATTCGAAGAAAATTGATACAACTTTATGACATCTACCCTTTATCTTTTGTTCTTCCAAGTTTCTTATCCAAAACAATTTCTAGATAAGTGACCTGCTTGAGACAGGGAAAATGGATGCCACCTATTAATATTTCATTGATTTTTCAGGAGCTAAGGTGAAGCCATTTTCTGTTGTCCTTGTTGCAAAAGTCTTAATTGCAGAACCCAGATGTCTCAGATATATAGATAGATATATGTATATGATGCTTTTTAGATTGTTTGTACAATCAAATATATATTTGAATTTTGCATGCACTATTAATTTTACTGTGAAGATCCGATGTATATACGTTGAAAAGCAAGGGACTCAACACCGCCCCCTGCAGAATTCCACAGTACACAGTTTGGGGACCCAACAGAATATTATTGTGAGATCGTATACCTACCCTTTCAGAGAATAGATGCACAATAGTGCTTGCTGTCTTTGCTGCAACTGATATCGTGTTGGTTTTTCATATAATATATTCAACTGAACAAAGTCAAAGGCGCCCTTAATGTCCAAAAATGCTGCTCCCAAGTAATGGTTGTATGATAAATTCAACTATATATCCGTTAATATTTCAGATAATGCATCCAAAGCACCAAATCCATTTTTTTGTCCATATTTCCTTCTGGCAATATTTGATTTTTCATTAAATACCATTCTAGCCTGTATTTTATCAGTCGCTCGAATGTTTTAAATACTCATGAGAGTAGGGATATCGATCTGTATGATTATGCTGAGTACGGACGTTTTCCCGGTTTCAAGATCAGAACTATGATGGCTTTATTCCATAATGGCAATTTTTCATGTTAGAGCCAAATATCATTATAAATAGCAAGGTTATGTCCGTTGAAATTTCCTCCAATAAGACGAGGACCCTGAAAAAACTCTAAGCATTTTTTCCAGTCTAGTGTACTTGTGACACAAACGTTATAGAATCATTGCTAAGTATTGCTAACTTGATTGCACAACATGATCTTTGTTAAATAGAACGTTACTGATCTGAATTTCCGAAAAAAATGAGCCCATTTTTCACTAAGATAGCTGTATCGTGATTCCATCATACCTATTTTGTCTCACTATTTTGTATCCCTAGAAATGATACTCCTTATCTGGCTTAAACTATGTTTCACTGATAAGCGCAATATCTTATTCTATAAGAAATGGTTTTAGGGTTTGTTTATTTGAGAGATTGTTATTGGAAAGTGTGCATCAACATGGCGTCTGGTACAGATACAGTGATTCTAATCAAGGAATTGAATAAGTTAGAAAAAGCTGAAATAATCGTATTGATTGTAAAAAGGAAGTTACCCGGGAACCCTAGAGGTGCGGTGTTAGCAGAATTTGTATTTGGTTTGCAAAAGTGTTCCTCGTGTCAACATAACAACAATACTTCAAAGTCAGTCTCCTTAGATGAAAAAAGTGCGCTACTTATTAATGTTATCTTCTGACAAATAAATCATGGCCTCCTTAGAAAAACACTAGCACATAACATTAAGTGTGATGATATTTCGGTGATTTTATGCACTTGTGAGGCATCACTAGACTGGAAATTATACACTCTCTCCAAATATAAAATAATCTAATATGGTGAAAGTTGAGGTGGGTTGCTGGAAAACAAAAGATGATTTGAACATGTCATACACGCTATCTTATTTGCGAAATGTCCGAATAATGTCACATTTTGACAGCTGTCAAATTAACCGTTTTTTATTTTCTGGCAAAAAATGAATTCTGCCACTTTCGGTTTTTCGCTGATATTTTCAAAACCAAATGAACGATCGTAAATCTGAAGCCGGCTATCGAAAGCACTAACTCTCCTCTAAAGCTCTCCCGATTTAGCATTTGCTGTAGGTATAACAGAAGCCGAGGTCACTGTATAGAGAAGCGACACACGGTATGTGTAAATGTAATTACCGTGAAGTCATCTTTGACAAATGCATCGCAGAACGCTAAAGTGGTACAGACTCCTAATATCCAAATATTGGTGATATATATATATATATATATATATATATATATATATATATAAATATTTCTCTTGTAGTGGTGTGACAGTGACAACACCACCGCCGATCATTGGTATATATATATATATATATATATATATATATATATATAAATATTTCTCTTGTAGTGGTGTGACAGTGACAACACCACCGCCGATCATTTATAGTATCTTACCCATTGCGTAGTCGGTAGTGGCCTCCACGACGGTGCAGCATCGCCAATCGAACAATGAGCACATTATACATCGGATTTTTATCATTAAGTTTTCCCGTTTTTACGGCGATCAGAAACTTCTTAATGATAGAACGTATCTGACTCATACTAAAGACGTTACATTTACAACCTCCTATCCCCTCCAACCCTCAAGTCTCAACCCCTACAAACACTTTTTCGTTTAAGAGATTTTTATTTTTTTCGTATTTTTGCCCTTAGCTCCGCCACTACTAGACCGAAAAGTAATAATCTAAATTTCGAGATTTTTCGCGATTACGGTTTTGGCACAGGAATTAAAAATAAAAACGCAAATGAGGAAAACTGATTGAAAGTGTTGCCAAAAACTAAACGCCTACAATGACCTATAGGTGCGCATTCACGCGACTTTATTTATACTATTGGATCAGTTACTTTAGAATTGCAGCGTCGATCAAACTTCTCTACTACTATTCGTCACCCAGATACCCAGATACCAAACATGTTTAACTCTTTCAAGGGCGATGGTATATAAAATAAACCACCTCAAAGCATGCTTTAATCAGGCGGTGGTACATATTTAGCACCACTGCTAAAAATTTCATTTACAGATCGAGCAGCGGTTCATTTCATGAACCACCGCTCGAAGTAAGTTGTTCACGTGCCTATAAAAGAGCGCGTGTACCGGCAGGAGCGCGGGAGATCGGAATACCGAATACCGAAGGTATATAAATCCATAAAAACAAAGATAAAAAAAAATGTATTACAGGAGAAAAATAATATAAATTGGGAACAAAAATTATTAATAATATAGTAATTTTAGCTTGACAAGCCAATGTTATAATTTTAACTAAATTTTTCATTATTCATTTGTCAAGAATAATATACGAGCTGCGAGTAGGGAAACACTAAAAAAGTAAGTAACATTGTCTGATTTAGATGCACTCATCTTATTAAAGTTATTTTGTTATGATTCTATCCTATATTAATTTGAAAAAATCCTCCAATGTTTTATATATACTGGTAGTGACTGCGTACCACCGCACACATTACGTCTTTATTTTTCAACCTATTTTTTATTTTTTTATTTTTAGACTTACAACATGTCTAACTTGCCATTTAAATTAGTCGATATGACGGAAGGTGAATTATACGCCGAACTCGAAAACATTTATTCAGAAATGGAACAAAGTCGTATAAACGGTGAAGAAAGTCCATCTGATTGTGAATCGTTAGCCAGTAACAGAGACGACCAAGTAAGTGATACAGAAACTACTATTAGAAGCAACGTGTTGATATGTTCATGTTGTGACTCAGAAAATGTCCTACCTTTGTCAACTATCGCTAGAAGACTGCAACTAGCTTCATCTGCCTCACCAGTTGGAAAAAAATCTCCAGTTTGGTCTAATGTGAAAACTCTTACACCACCTCCAGATTTTACTGCACATTCTGGTCTAGCAGAATGTGTAACAAATATGGCAGATCCATAAATTATTTTAATTATGTTTTTCTGACTGTTTGATAGAAAATATTGTTTTTGAAACGAACCTGTATGCTCAACAAAAGTTTCTTCTTACAAACCAACTCATGTTCGTGAAATTAAAACATTTTTGGGGTTAAATTTACTTATGGGCATAAAACGCCTTCCAAGTTATAGGGACCATTGGTCTAGTGCGCCAGATCGTCATGACCCTTAGGTCAGTAATCTAATGTCAGTAAAGCGATTTAGTTGGTTGCTTGGCAATATTCACTTGAATGACAATTCATTAATGGCAAAAAAAGGGGAAGCCAAGCTGTACAAAGTAAGGCAATTGTTGAATAGTATGTCTGGGGCATTTGGAAAATGTATGCTGCCAAGTCGTGAAGTTGCCATAGATGAATCAATGATAAAATTCAAAGGGAGAAGTTATCTCAAACAATATATCCAAAAAAACCTACTATAAGGGGATACAAAGTGTGGATGCTCGCAGATAAAAATGGGTCCTGTCTAAAATTTGATATTTATACAGGAAAGCCTAGTGGTGATGTCGAGAAGAACTTAGGCTCGAGAATTGTGAAACAGCTATGTGAGGGTCTTGAAAATAAAAATCACTTGGTCTATTTTGACAATTTTTTCAACGGAGTCGAGCTAATGGAAGATCTAAAAAACAATGCAGATACATGCCTGTGGTACTGTTAATTCTTCTAGGCGGAATATTCCGAAGTTCAAATCAGATAGGAACATGAAAAGAGGTGATATCGAGTGGTTTACAAGCAATAGTGATTTGTCTGTTATTAAATGGAAGGACAAGCGTTCCGTTTTTCTCCTGTCTAACTTCCATGACCCACATGATATTCTTAAAGTGAACCGAAAAGAAAAGAATGTATCAATTACCAAAGTACCTTGTCCAAAAGCCCTTTCTGATTACAATGCCAATATGAATTTTGTCTACAAGTTAGACCAAAATTTGACTTCCTACAAAATAGATCGGAAAAGCCATAAATGGTGGCATCGCATTTTCTTTTTTTTTCCTGGATGCTGCTATTGTTAATGCATTTGTATTATATAAGGGGTTACAGCTACCCACGCTTTATATGAAAGATTTCCTAAGAAGTATAATACAAGGTCTTGTTGTACAACAGCTGGTAGATAGAAAAAGACCTTCTTTATCAACTTTTTAAACTGTTGCCATGTTTCTGAAAAAAGTCGATTTGAAGGTTCATCTCATCAACCTAAACGCGGTACTCGACGTCGGTATGCTTACTGTAGTACTAAAAAAGAAAAACAAATAAGAACGGACTGGGTATGCAGCGTTTGCAACGTGCCTCTTTGTTTAACTAAAAATAAAACCTGTTTCCAGGACTCTCATAGAAATAAATAGGAACAGGGCGGTGGTACATATATAGCACCACTTATTATTTTTCAAATATATGAAAAATTACATATAAAAATAAAAAATATGCAAAGTTTTGGGTATTATTTATATCCCCAAATAGCATTTTATGTCTAAAACAAATAATATACAAAAATATTTTTTATGCCCAAATACAGAATAAATTTTATAAAATAGTTGCCCTGAAAGAGTTAAGGGGGAAAAGGAAAGAAAGAAAGGAAGAAATAGAGGAAAGAAAAGAAGTGAATCATTTGAAATAGCTTAAGCATTATTGGTTTGACTACTCGAATAATTTTGTAACTCCAAAAATAATTTTGATCGGTTTTGTATACTGAAATACGAGAATCTTGGCTGGTCTGAAATTCACAATTTAATTTTGATCACAGTGCGAGGAGCGGCGTGTAATGTTAGCGAACTTGCTAGTCTACTGAATCACGCAACAGAGGGTTGCTGTGCGATTCGGCTTGATTGTCAAACTTCTCATCTCGGTCGCATAGGTGTTATACAGTGTATTATTAAAGTTGCAACTTTTCTTCACGCATTGTATAGATCTTCCAAAAATAAGCAAATTTTCTATTTAACACATACATAAAAGCTTTAAGGTAAGCAAGACATTAGGTTTTGAAAAAATTGCGATATAAAGCCGTACCTGTCTTCAGCGCGCAACAGATGGTTAGGTGAGAAGTCGCGCATCGGTATTCAACTCAAAAGACGATTTATTTGTTTACAAAAAGGATCCGAAATAACGACAGTTGCACATTGTTGTAAGCACAATGATTTGACTTGGGCACCAGCAAACTTCGAGGTCTAGTAAAGAGGATGAAATCCGGAGATACTATAATTCTCGATGCTGCTTATTTCCTTTAGTAATGGAAAAAGTAAGCATCTTCAGATCTTCAGCTGTCCAAATATTTCGTGTCGATCTCTGTAATTTTCGGCGGCTCAGCTGTATAGACCGTACAAAAAATTATTAACCGGTTTAGAAGGCGAATTGAGAATAGTACGACACGACCGAAAACAGTCGAAAAGCCTGTACAGTCAGGTGATTTCTTACTGAGCACCTTTCTGGTTGTCTGAGAATCGAAGTGGTTATCAAGCTTCCTCATCGGTGGAGCCTGCGAGCTAAATCTTCATTGCTACATATAAGTTCTTTCGGCTGATGACTCGTCTGAGGAGAATTATGTTTGAAGAAAGTTGTTCGATCTTTGCCGGTCGTTCAGTAATAAAAGAAGTGAATTTCGCAGCCGGTCTTGATCAATTGTGCCGACTCAACTTTGTTAAGATTTAGAAGGCTCACTCCCACTCCTGATACTTTGGTATTCTTCGTATGGTACATGCAAGAAACAAAGTTGAATAATGAACTGAGAATATTGCTCAGTGGACAAATAAACAACCTAAAAGTCCACGTGACTTTTTAGTGCTGGATCAGTTGGTTACTTTTCTGGGTGCCTGGGAATAGAAAGGTCCATCAAGCTTTCTTGGTACTCGATTTTCAAATCGTCAAGAGTCGGCTTTATAGGTGAGTGGACCACCGGCTGATCTGAAGACCTTAGTGTGCTGTATTGCTCTCAATACAAAATACCTTGTTTTGATACACCGAACAGACGCTACGCTGTGCTTAAGTAAGGGAGTGGTGACTAAAGCTCGTCCGGTAATATTCGATGCTGGTCATTTGGATTCCGTCAGTACTTGAAGAAATGAGCATCTTCAGCCGGACCGACTGATTTACGTTCTCCGTTAAGATTTCGGCGGCTTTCCTCTACCCTTGGCACTTCTTTATCTCTCGAACGACATACAAAAAAAACGAAATCGAATAACGAATTCAGAGTATTATCCAGTGATCAACTAAACATCTAAGAAGTCTGCGTGTTCACGTGCATTCTTAGTATTTTTTTATACAGGGTGTTCATTTGAAAACTATGCACCACGGATTTATCGAAAACCACTGATTAAAAGAAAAAACGCCGAGACAGGTCAAAAGATCTGTCAAGGGGGACAACTTTTTAACGAAAAACTACTTCACCCCCTTTCACCCTCTGCCCTCCAGGGTCATCCTCTTGAAAATTTTAAATGACAATGGTATCAAGTAATATCTTGTTTGAAAGGTCTTTCGAGTCCTTTATTTTGACGTTTGATTTTTTAAAATCGGTGGATTCGTTTTCAAGAAAATTAGAAAGATCTTTATTTATCTTAATTTGTTCAGGTAGAAAACAAAAACACACGAAAATATCACTTTTTATTTCATGAAGCATTCAAAATGCTGCCCGTTATTAGCCAAACAATGATATAGGCGGTGTTCAAATTCCTGACGGACATTTTCAGAAATATGTTGTGGGATATCATGATAGCTTTCGATGATGCGTTGAAGAAGTTCATCCAAACTTTCAGGTTGGGAAGTAAACACAATAGGTTTCAAATGACCTCATAGAAAAAAGTCTAATGTAGTCAAATCAGGAGATCTAGCAGTCTAGCAAGTATAGGGTTTCATCCTCTTCGATTTGGTTTTCAATTGTTTTAGTGATAATCGTATTGATGACATTTTCAAACAAATATAAATAAATGTCTCCATTAAAATTTTCATTAGTAAACAATGGCACAATCACTTTCCTCACTTTTTTGGGGTACTGGGTATGCCCTTCTACAAAAGCATGAGGATTTTCATTTCTCCAATACCTGCATTTAGTTAAAATGTGCATTCATCCCTAAAGCAGATATTCTTCACATGAATGGTATTATCATTAATCGCAGCAGTCATTTCTTCACAAAACTCAACTCGCCAATCGAAATCATCTTCGGTTAACGCTTGCAACATTTTCATTTTGAATGGATGAAATTTATGGAGTTTAGTAGCTGTGTGTACAAAGCCTAATGAAATACCAGTCGCAGCAACAATTTTGCGTAATGAGGTATTAGGATTTATTCCAAAATGACCCAAAACTTCAACTTGAGCGGCTTCATCCAAAACTCATCTATGATCACGTTTTCTCATTTGCAGCAGATCCAGTTTGAGTAAATTTGGTAACAAGGTCCAAAATATACCTATGCGAAGCTATCTTCCCCGGACGTCTGTCGTTAAACGTGACGGCAGTTTGCCCAGCACATTGATTTTGGGCACCATAAATTAGCATACTCTTCCAGCTAATGCGTAAACCATTTTGGAAGTAAAATCTGAATCAATAAATGAATTTTCACTATCCCAATATTGTCACAAAGGTAACTGACAGCAAAGTAAATTATTTCTTTCCCTTAGAAACAAATAACTAAACAGGTATATTAATAAATACAGTTCGCCCAGAATATACGTGTTGATGAAAAGAAAAAATTCAGGTTGTTATTTCGTTGCTGCCACCTCTAATCTTCCGAATTGCTGCTTATGTTGGTAGTTTCAGTTTTAAATTATTAACGAATTGCAGATTTGGCAAACCCTAGCGGGCAACATTTTGAACACTTATTGAAATAAAAGGTAATATTTTACTGTGTTTTTGTTTTCTATCTGAACAAATTAAGATAAATAAAGATTTTTCTAATTTTCTCGAAAACGAATCGACCGATTTCAAAAAACAAACGTCTAAATAAAGGACTTCGAAATACCTTTCAAACAAGCTATCACTCGATACCCCTTGTCATTAAAAAATTTTAAGGGGTTGACCTTGGGGGCAGAGGGTGAAGCCGTTTTTGGTTAAAAAGTTGTCCCGCTTGACAAACCTTTGGACGTGTCTCGGCGTTCTTTATTTTAATCAGTGGGTTTCGGTACATCCGTGGTGGGAAGTTTAAGAATGAACACCCTGTATACTTGGACCACCACGAAGGCCTAAACACCGATGGCTACCGTGGGGCTCTAGGGGGATACAGGGCAAAGGGGGGAAGCCACACGTACTCTAGCGAAGGAACTCGTGTGCATGCAACAGATATTCTGGCCCCGCCTTAGAGATCCGCCAGGTGGTACCTCCGCGTTCGAAAATCAGGGACTGTCTACCACCCACGTGTAATCACAACATCCATAGCCAAGAGAAAAATTTTCTTCATTGTATATTTTCCGCCTTTGTAGATGAGTGGTCCATTGATTGATCTAGAGTCCTTCGTGTGCAATATGCTCAAAATACTGTTTTGGGACATCAACAGACTAATGTTTAGTAAGTAGTAGTAGTAGTAATTTCCGTTAATGGCAATTTGCATTGCGCTACTATAGCGGTCCAGAGCCTCCATGACACCTAAACCCCGTTCTATGTCAAGATTTTCGCGATTTACCCCCACTCCTGATAGTTAGACTGATATCTCTTACGGCCCATATTAAAAACAAAATCGACTAACGAACTGGGAATACTGGCCAGCGACCAACTGAACATCTTAGAAGTGTCCGTTTTGACACGACTTCTCAATGGTTGACTAGTTGGTTAATCTTCTGGTTGCCTAAGAACTGGAATGACTACCAGCGTTATCGGTGGTCGATTTTAAACCGTTGAGTCCGCAGTTCATTATTTATGCTTCCTGTCTTTATAGAACGTACCATCGGCAGATCACAAGTTCGTTGTATCGCTCGCAGTGCAAAAACCTTGTTTTGGGACACTGATGTGTAGTAAAAGAATGGTACTCAAAGATTGGTAATTTCCGATGCTGGTGGTTTTGCTTTATTACTTGAAGAAGTAAGCGTCTTCAGCGGTCCGGAGCCTCCGACTGATCCCCGTTCTCCGTAAAGGTTTCGACGGCTCTCCCCCACTCTTGGTCTCTAGTACCTGTCGACGTTCGAGATTCGCGACCGGTCACCTGTGCCCCGCCCACCGGCCAATGGCCCGCCGAAGATGGTCGAGTCGTGGCCTTACCACCTTTATCTATGCACCTCAGGTGAGACACAGCAACGTCGAGGTGGTCTGTTGTAAGCTCTGTAAGTCCGTTCGACTCAACGCTCGTCGCGAATATACGCGGACTTTTCGTGCTTGATTTATCCGACATTCAGTACTACTCTCCGTCGACGGTGCGGTATCGGAACT